GCCCCATCTCGCAGCGCAAACGGCCGTGCGTCATGGCGCCTGCCGCCGAGATCTCGTCGCTCGAGATGATCGGGTACGAGCCGCGCGCGTCGCCGCGCCTCGCTGCCGCCGGCGCTGCGCGAGACTTGTTCGGCGAGGCTGCCGACTCGCTGCCAGAGGCGGCGCCGCTGTTCGCCGCCAACTGTGAGCCGCGCCGGGCGGGTGACGCGGGGGGAGGGCTCTCCCCCCGCCGGCCATCGACGGGCTCTGGCCGCGGGATGCAGGCGCCGGCCTCGCCGCGGCAGAGGCCGTGCGTCGCAGCGCCCGGCACGGCGGTGCGCGTGCTGAGCGGCAAGCACGCTGGCCGCACCGGCACGACAGTGTCGACGGCGTTCTCGTGGATCACAGTCGTCCTCGACGACCAGCCCGGCGGCGGCAGCGGCGAGAGCGTCCACATGCGCAAGGTAGACCTCTCTGCCACCTCGTCGCTCGCCTTGCCGCCGCTAGGGGCGGCGGCGGCCGAGGCGGCGGCCGAGGCGGCGGCTCCGCCTCCAACCGAGGCGGCGGAGGAGGAGGCGGCGGCGGAGGCGACGGAGGAGGACGCCGAGGCGGAGGCGGCGGCAGAGGAGGCGGCGGAGGAGTTCGCGGACCAGGCGGTGGCCGAGGCGGCGGGGGCGGGGGCGGGGACGGAATCGGAGGTGGCAGCGGAGGCGGCCGAGGCGGCGGCAGAGGCCGAGGCCGGGGCGGCGGAGATGGCGGAGGACGCCGCGCTGGTTGAGGCTCCGGCGGCGTCGCCAGTGGAGACAGCGTCCGTTGCATCGCGGCCGCCGACGCCGCGGACGCCGCCAGCGCAGAGCGGTGCGCGAAGTTTCCGCGATAGCGGCGAGACATCGACACGTCCGCCACACTCCGACGATGCAGCACCCACGACGCGCAGGCGCCGACTCGACTTTCGCGGACATCGACCTTGCGGCGATTACGGCGCAGAGGCGTGTGGTGGCGCAGGCGCCCGTCTGCTCGCTCGCGCACAAGCTTGGGCAGCCTTCTCCCCCACCCCACCCCACCCCACCTCGCCAGGCGCGACGCTCGCAAGAGTCGCATTTGCTGTCGCTCAAGCGCGCGCCGCCGTCGTACGCCCCTCCGGACGACATCGCGGACGGCCTCGACTATGCGACATCGCAGGTCGGTGCTCCCTGTGCCTCTCGCTGCCTCGCCCCCTCCCCCCCCCACCCACACACGCACGCACACGCACGCTCACGCACGCACGCACGCACGCACGCACACACACACACGCACACGCGCGCACGCACGCACGCGCGCACAACACACACACACACACACACACACCGTACACGCACGCACACACGCACACACACACACACACACACACACACACACACACAGAGAGAGAGAGAGAGAGAGAGAGAGAGAGAGACAGACACACACCGTACACGCACGCACGCACACATCGCCCGTCCGTCCCCAAACGCAGGCCGAGGCGGTGCGCCAGCACATGGAGGCTCAGCGGGTCTTCCTCGAGGGCCTCGAGGCGGCGCGCGCGGCGGCCGAGAAGAGCCGCGCGGCCGCCATCGCAGCGCAGGCCGCCCCCCCCCCCCTCCCCCCTCCCCCCGAGGGCGACGCAGCAGCGGGAGGAGGGAGGACCTCCCCTCACCCTTCCTGGAGCCTCGCCCGTAGACGCTGCTCGACAACCTGCAGGAGGCCAAGGTCCACCAGGACCAGCGCGCCGCCAAGGAGCAGGAGGCGCGGGCCACCTTCGCCACCCTCGCCGCTGCCAACGACCGCGGCGACTATGGCGGCGCGCACAACGCCGCGGTGGCGTACGCGGCGCTCGCCGAGGAGGTGAAGGACCTCAAGGACAACGAGGTCGCCGCCAAGGAGCGCATCCTCGCGCGGGCGTCGGTCTCCTCGTGACTCCGGCTATGGCCGTCGGATCGCCGATGCACGCCCCCTCTCGCCCCGCGACTCGTCGTCCCTCTCGCTCGGGGGGGCCAACACGACACTAGTCTAAGTCGTCGAGTATCTTTTACGTTTGTCTGTGTTGTCGCCATTTGTTTCTGTTGGGGGTACTTACAACACGATGTATCACGAAGTGACACAGTCCGGACACCCTAGAGCGACGAGAGCTCTCGTTAGTCTCGCCCCGTCGCCGGTATACGTATGCCTCCGCCCGCGTGTATATGGGGTTATGGCTCTCCGCGCCCCCGCGACGTCGCGGAGCAGTGACGGTGTCACGATGGTTAGATCCCATATCCGCAAGTTCCCCGTCCGCCCTCTCATAATGGGCCTCCTCGCGCGGCAGTGGGAGCGATGGACGGCAAGGCGCTGCGACCCTTCACCGCACAGAGCTCTGTGGGCGCTGACCGCCGCGGCAACGGCGGCCGCAAGCACGCGTGGATGTAGGCCTCAGCTGGCGTGCGGAGGAGCTCGGCCTGCGCGCGTCGCGCATCGGCCGGCCGCCTTAACGGCGGAGGACTCCACGGCCGGTCAAAGCTGGGCGAGCCGCTCAGGGAACCGTGGAGGAGCCGGGGCTTAGGCGCCGACACTGGCGCCGCTGGCACCGAAAGTGGAGGCAGCGGCCGCGGCCGTGGCCGCATGGAGGCCAGGCCAGAAGGCGACGCCGGAGCAGAGCTACGGCGGGGAGCGCTCGCGATTGGCTCCCCCACGCCCCGGCTCGCACTCGCAGACCGGTCCACGCCGCGCAGCACCGGCCGCTGGGGGCGGCGGAGCCGCATTCGCTCAAGCATATCGTTGGCACTCGGTTGGGCCCTCGACGCGTCGCCAGCCGCAGCGTGCGCCGCGGGGGGGCGAGCGCGAACCGAAGCGATCGGCGCCTTGTGGCTGTGCCGATGCGGTCCCTCTGGTCGCACGGCCCCGTCGTCCGAGTGCGCCGGCGCCAACTCCAGATCCGAGGCCATGACCCTGATTGACGTCGGCGAGAGCCGCCGCACGTACGGCAGCATCTCGCGTGCGACGGCCTGGACGTCGTCCTGGGCGGAGACACTGGCAGCACCGCGAGGCCCTTGCAGCCCCCCACCAGAGCGTGCTTGGTGCTGGGCTGGCAAGATTGTCCGCATCAGCCTGCCGGGGCTGTCGCATTCACTGTGAATGCAGGCACGCTCGCGCTCGTAGTCGGCCAGGCATTGCGCACACCGGCAGTGGGCCCTGCCACACACAAGGCGGGGGGCGGGCGTGATGTGTTGCAAACGTGTGCGTTGGCCCCCGCTGTGTGGAGGGTGGCAATATGGCGGAGAACGCACCCTCTCTCGCAGATCTCCGAGTTTGGCGCCCGCTGCCTCGGCATGGAGGGTGGACGCGGCCCTGGGAGCTCGCTTGCGGAAGCGATCGCCCGCATGATGGCGACGGTTAGTGAAGCGTCGGGTGGATTCCTGTGGTATCTTCGCAGATGACGCGGAATGAGCGCCACTTTTGACGCGTGACGTGGCGGTTATGGACGGTTACGTCAGCGAAAAAAGAAACTCTGCCCTGCCTCGACGCTGTGTGCTGTTCTGCTGTAAATGGCAAGATAAATGGCATGCATGTAAGAGCTACATACACTGATGATGAAAATCGAGAAAAACGGATCCACCGTGCAATTAATCATGGTTCAATGACTGTAAGCTCTCTCTCTCTCTCTCTCTCTCTCTCTCTCTCTCTCTCTCTCTCTCTCTCTCTCTCTCTCTCTCTCTCTCTCTCTCTCTCTCTCTCTCTCTCTCTCTCTCTCTCTCTCTCTCTCTCTCTCTCTCTCTCTCTCTCTCTCTCTCTCTCTCTCTCTCTCTCTCTCTCTCTCTCTCTCTCTCTCTCTCTCTCTCTTGTCCTGGAGGCGCCATCCGGCTTTGTTGACCGCCTCCTGCGAGCATCCCCGGAATTTAGAAAAAAAGAAACGCGGCACCGCAGCCGAAATCGGCTCGACCTCCGCCACAGAGCTCCACACACAGGCTCCAGAGTGCCGATTCTGTCCGTGATTGGGGTGCCGCCGCCCAAGTTGGGGTGCCGCCGCCGCCGCCGCCGCCATGCTTCAAAGACAGGTCTTCGGTCCACCTCCTGGCGGTCGCGCCGGAGTATGCACCAGCAACGGCGTCCCCGCGAGCAAGCACTCCGAGCTCTGGTTCAAATACGCAACGGATTGTGAAGCGCGGTGCTCCGCCTTGGCCAGTTGCACGGCCTACCAGTTCTTGCAGTTCGGCACAAAGTCCGGATACAAGATGTGTGCGATACACAACTCGCCTGTTACCGGTGTGCTTCGAGCGGACGGCTTCCTGTGCATGGTTAAGCGCACGACGGCAGCTTCTGCTTCGCCTCTCACCCTGTCAGTCCCCAGTGCGATTCCACCGCCGCCACCAATAGTCGCGGCGGCGGCGGCATTCAGTTTTAGGGCTTCCCTCTCGCCTCCGACTCTGCAACCATCATTGCCGCCGCCGCTGCCGCCGCCGCTGCCGCCGCCGCCACCGTTGCCGCCGCCGCTGCCACCGCCGCCGCTGCCGCCGACGCCATCGTTGCCGCCGTCGCTGCCACCGCTCCCGCTTTCGCCATCGCCGAGCCCGCTCCCGTCGCCTCCACCTCCGCCACCATCGCTGCCGCCGCCGCCGCCGCCGCCGCCGCTGCCGCCGCCGCCACCGTTGCCGCCGCTGCTGCCACCGCCGCCGCTGCCGCCGACGCCACCGTTGCCGCCGTCGCTGCCACCGCTCCCGCTTTCGCCATCGCCGAGCCCGCTCCCGTCGCCTCCACCTCCGCCACCATCGCCGCCGCCGCCGCCGCCGCCGCCGCCGCCGCCGCTGCCGCCGCCGCCGCCGCTGCCGCCGCCGCCGCCGCTGCTGCCGCCGCAGCCGAGCCTCCCCACTGCGTCACCACCGCCTCCTCCTTGGTGGAAGTTGTCATTTCCGCCGCCGCCGCCGCCATTTCCGCCGCCGCCGCCGCCACTTCCGCCGCCAAGTCTTCCCGCGGTGTCCTTTACCTTTTCGAAGCTGGACTGTGCCGGCTACCTTCCCCCGCTGTTGGGCAAGTTGCGGGACGGGTGTGCGGCGCTGGCGGGGCCGCACGCCGTCTTCGACGCGTGCCCCGATCTCCGCAACGCCGACCTGCGCTGCGCCAACCTCGAGGGCGCCATGATGAGCGGGGTCGACTTGAGCGGCGCCGTGCTCGACAGCGCGAACCTGATGGGCGCCTCGCTCACCGACTCCGACCTCACTAACGCCGACCTGCGCTGCGCCAACCTCGAGGGCGCCATGATGAGCGGGGTCATCTTGGGCGGCGCCGTGCTCAACGGCACGAACCTTTTTGCCGCCTCGCTGAGCGGCTCGTCTTCCCTCACGACGGCGTCGTTTGCCGGTGCAGAGATGCGCGACGCCGATCTCACTAACGCCAACTTGGAGCATGCGCGCTTCGACGGCGCCATCATCGAGGGCGCGGACTTTTCGTCCTCGACGCTCCCGTTCGCCAGCTTCGTCGGCGCAAGGATGTACGCGGCCAAGTTCGACCAAGCCAAGCTGTGGGAGGCAGACTTCTCGCGGACGGCGCTGCCCACCGTCGACTTTAATAAGGCGGAGCTCACGCGCTCTGACTTCTCGGGCGCGTCGCTCCACTCGTGCGTCTTCTCCATGGCAAACATCGATGCCTGCATCTTCACCGGCGCTACGCTAGTGCAGGTCGACCTCTCCGGGTATGTTGGCACCCCGGTCGACCTCCCACAGCCGGCAGCCCCGGTTTAGGCCCCACTGAACTTGAGAGGCGGCCGCGGTCGCCCCCCTCGCCGCACGCGCGTGCCCAGAGAGTCTCAGGCTCTGCCGCCAGAGCTCGCGCTCAAAGGACTCTTTTCATGTGCAATGTGGTGTATGTGCGCGCCGTGTGTCGTAGCGTACGAGTCGCGTAGGCGGTAGGCCGGGGCCGCGCGGCGCATGCCCATGCGTGTGTGTGTCGTGTGCGGGGTGTGCGGGGCACAGCGCACAGGCTCGGTGTACGGCTCTCTCTAGACTCTAGGTACGGCTCTGATGAGGCTGTGGCTGATGAGTGTGATGTAGCCGGCTGCAGACGTGCAGAGAGCACTGACCCGTAGCGTCGTACATTACCGTCGTACTCCTACTCGTAGCTCTCTCCCCTCTCTCCGTATCGTATATGAGATCGCGCGGATCGCGTCGGATAGCGGCGCGGTCTGGAGCCGAATCTAATCTAAACCGCGCGCGGCGGGCGTGTCCCGGCGCGTGTGCGTGAGCCGCGTGACGTGTGAACCCCCGTGTGAGATGTGACGTCGTCACATAATGACAAATAACCGCTGCTTGCGCGTTCGTGTGGGGACGCACCCTCGACACGTGCATCGCTGTGCCGTGGGCGGTGCCGGTGGGCCCTGCGGTGTGTACAGTGCGAGCGCCCTGCTCACAAGGCGAGCGAACGGTCAGACTGCGCACCCGCACGCTTCACATGACCATGCTCTCTCCTCCAGCACATGGCATGGCGCGCAACGTGCCTCGCGCGGGGAGTCCACGTCCTCCGCCCCGGCGGGCAAAGGTCGACCCCCCCTCCCCTTCTCCTCCCCATCAGGCCCCTTGAAAGGTCGGCTGCACCCACCCGTCCCCCCGGCGCGCTCTCCCCACCTCTCCTCACGGGGCCGGCGCGGGGGCGGCCGGCTCCTCGCCGCCGCCCTGCAGCCCGTCCGACGTCGCCGACGGGATCGCGTGCAGCTGCAGGATGTCGGGCTCGCTCTGGCGGCACTCTGTCGCGTCGAGCACGATCTGGTCGCCGCCGTGCGAAAAGACAAACTCGAGGAAGGCGCCGTCGGGCACCGCGCGGTACATCTGGTGCAGCGCGCGCAGGCTCTTTGGCCGCTGGCCGTTGAGCGTGTCGAGCACGCGCCACGCGTGGCAAGTGTACCTACTCCCGGCTCCTCCCGGCTCCTCTCCACCTCCCCCCCACCTACTCCCCACCTCCTCCCCACCTCCCTCCCCACCTCCCTCCCCACCTCCCTCCCCACCTCCCTCCCCACCTCCCTCTCCACCTCCCTCCCCACCTCCTCCCCACCTCCTCCCCACCTCCTCTCGGGCCATCTCGCGCGTGGCAAACGCGCCCGTAGTTGAGCGGCGCGGCCAGGATCTCGGTCAGCAGCAGGATCTCGGCAACCTGCAGCCCATACCACACCCGGAAAGGTGAATCAAGAGGCGGAGGGTCTCGGTCGGCAGCAGGCCCTCGCCCACCTCGCCGCCCTCGCCGCCCCCGTCGGCGGGCGGGAAAGAGCGCGCGATCTGGTAGTTGACCAGGTCGTAGATGGCGGAGTGGTGCCCCTTGCTGCGCTTGTCCTCGAGCATCGGGCAGCAGAGCCGCACGAAGACAAGGCCGCCGATGATGACGTAGTGCGGGAAGCAGTCGAAGCCGTGGTTGCGCGGCAGCCGGCGCGGCAGCTGGCTGAGCGGCGCGCAGAGCTGCACGCGCTCGCCGCCGCGCAGCACGAGGACGGAGGTCGGCTCGCCTAATTCACCATTCATCACTACTGCTGATGCATGGTTAGCGCAGCACGAGGACGGAGGCCGGCTCGCCTCGCTGCGGTGAGCAGGAAGGGGGAGAGATGAGGAGAGATGGGGGAGAGATGGGGGAGAGATGGGGAGAGATGGGGAGAGGTGGGGAGAGGTGGGGGAGAGACGAGCTCGCCTCGCTGCTTGCCGGTGAGCAGGAACTCGTACGACACCAGCTCCGACTCGCGCAACTCGACCGAGCCGTCGTCGCCAACCTGAGCAGCGAAGGGCCGATCATCACCCATGGAGACCCATCCTCGACCGAGCCGTCGGGGCTCGCCAGCCTTCTTGCCGTCGATCGAGAGGACCACGTCGTCGACGCGCACGCCGAGCGCCGAGTGGGACGAGGCACGTGTGACTAGCACGCCTGATGAAGAGTGAGCTCCGACCCACTCACCACGGACCATGCCACTTGTGGGGCGAGGCGCGAGCGAGGGGCAGGCGCCGGTGACGTCGTCTGGCACGCGGTGCCGCCGGCGGAGCGACGCGTTGCGCAGCTCGCGTGCGAGGAAGGGCACGTCGGAGATGCCCTTGTACTCGCCTCCCGCGACGGCGGCGAGGAAGTTGAGGCAGACCT